CTGAATAGAACGCAAAGTGCTTTGATATTTGAGGGAGGGGTGAACTCCGCATTAGTCTTTCCATGTTGCCAGGGCTGCATACACAAGTGGCTCTTTTAAGGGAGACTGAGCAGGAACAAGATTTGGCTGAGAAAACGCAATTGAACTTCTTTGCTTTCCGGTATGATGCGCACTGAAGTTGTCCAGCTCAACGAGGATTGAGCTGTCCTTTGTGGGCAGGTTGAATAATCGATACTTTTCCATTTCGTTCCATAAAGGTAGATGAAAAGACTGGTAACTGCGGCACTGTGGTGCTTATGAGACTAAACTTCAGGTTCCTCCATTTGATGATCTGACCTGGGCGAAATAGTAACCTGGTAGAAGACATACTGTTACCTTGCTTTAAAGTTATCTCGGCGGGGACACTTGAACACTTTGTAAATAGTAGAGCTTGTTGGTCTTGCATATACTCGATAGAACAAGCAGCTTGGTTGGCACATGAAACAGCCGTCACAGGAGATGCATCCGCAGCTCGCGGCGCAGAAGGTGTATTCAGGACTTCGGTTTGCTAGATCAGAAAGCTCTGATAGCTTGGCCGTAGGTGAGGTATTTTCACATGCGTTCTCGATGCAGCTTCCTGCTAAGTAGCATCGATGGATGGATTCGGAAACAAGTTGGTGATTTCTGGTATAGAATTGAATGTCTCTCTGACATTTGATCGATGCCGTTGACTTTGATTGATATGAGTCCGATCGGCTTGTTGTTATGATCCTTGAGAAGAAGACATGATTCTTGTTGCAGTGGCTGAAGAGTGACTACAGTGGCTTCGTTAAAGGTACATCTTTCCTTTTCTCCATCTTTGAAGCAGATATTTTCACTAGCAGTAAAAGAAGTGATCTCTGAGCAACCGAGTCCATGTGAAATTTTCAGATACAACACGGTAAGGCACGAAAATATGTTTCGTTTGTAAGATCTTTTCCTACGATTAGTGTATTTGCGTATTCTTTGCCGGTTGCTACAGAGGGCAAGTAATCTATCCACGAAGCAAACACGGTAAAGGATGATTCTGGTTATTCGAAGCAAAAGGCACACGATCCTGATCGTTATGTAAATCCATAGAGGAGTGATCAAGACGAGTAGTGTAATCAGAGTTATTTGTAAAAAAGTCCAACACTGAGTGTTGTACAGTCGCTCCCAGCAGAGGATGCATTGCATGGTTTCGCAGACTGGCTGTGTCGGGCAAAATAATTGTAAGTTTTCCACAAGTTTTCCTCGTGACCATGCTCTTATGGTGACTTTGTAATCGTACATCGTGAATGTATTGGGAAATGGTATGTGAGATGAAGCGAGATTTTTTCTGAAAATGCAGTACTGGTCGATGCAGATTTCTATGACTTCCTGTTCATTTGCTTGAGATAAACTTATGCCTCCTTTAGAACATGACGCAAGCGCATTCTTGCGAGTGTTTTCAAGAGATTTGGTAGTGTCATGTTTTATGGACAGTTTTGATGGGCTTAAGGGAAATCCATAGTAGGCCTTTGTGATGGGGCCCCAAGCTTTTATGGGGATTGCATTCTTTTCAGATGCACCGTTGAGAAGCAACAGAGCTATCGGGTTGTCATACATGCAAAAGAGGCTTGCTGGTTCTTGGCATTTGTGTCTTTTGCAGAACCACGATGTGCCGGTGATGTCGCTACCAGGAAGTCGCTTCCATCCCTTGCGATCGATGCATAAGAGGTCCCCTTGAGTGACGTAATCCTTGAGAGTTATTGTTAAGTTTTCTACCAAAAGCAAGGCGTCGAATAGTTGAACCTGATTGAACGTTTCCAATTTTTTAACTGAATCACACCTTTCGTCCTGCTCAAATGAGCAAACAAAGTTTGGGCGATAGTGGCGAAGACTTGCAGGTATTTTTCGTATTTCTGACTTGGTGGTGATTGATCCATTATGAAAAGAGCAAGAAGACGCCCACTGAGGGCATTTGCAACTTTCTCCGCAGAGAGAAGATTTGCTGTAAGGTACCTTTGAGAAAAGTATTTTGAAACGAATATGTCCCATAGGGCAGGAAATGGGGCAATAACAAAATGCATTTTTGTGTTTGGCAACTGCGATTCCTCTGGCTTTGCAGTTAGTGGCGTACAGAATTGTTTTAGGTGTGTTGAGTTCGCTTGGACACTTGATTGAAGCCGTAGACGCAGTTCCAATTGTCATCAGGCAAAGCTATGTTGCCAGAGTAGCGTGTGCTTGAGCTCGAGAGCGGGTAATCATTGAATGGCGTGATGGTTGTGGAGGTTTTTTGGTGGAAGGTGGTCCGTTAGTTTCGACGTTTCGATCGTTGATCTTCTGTGGTATCTCCAGTTTATGGATCAGAGAGTTAGGACGAGTAATTATTCTGTTTGAAGGAAGCTTTATCTGAGCAGAGCGTTGATAGTTATCCTGTGATCCGATGACTCTACCCATTTTCCACTGACCACGGTCAAGGGTTAGATCATGGATCAAGACAATGTCTCCGCTCTTAGGTGTGTCTTTTTCATGTGATCTGGGAACTGAATGCTTATTCTTGAACTGTTCGCGCATAGCGGTAAGATATTCCATGTTCCATCTTGTCCAAAATGTTGAGATTAGCTTGGAGGTTCGATCCCAATCAGCAAGTAAAGTGTCTCGTGTTGTTTGAAATGGTAGCCACTGATCTTGATATTCGGTGGGATAGGTGCTACACAATCGAGCATATGGGCGTATGAAATCGATAGGACGAAGAGGCATGTAGGAAATTTCATCGCTATAATATGTAAGCGGTCTTGTGTTGACAATGGTCTCGGCTTCCTTTGCCACCGTTCGTACTTCTTCGATGTCTAGCAAACGGTTAGTGATGGCATGTCTGTACGATTTTTTAAAGATATCAATCATTTTTTCATATATTCCTCCTTGCCATGGGCTTAGACTGGGTATGAACTTCATCTGTATTCGATTACTGGCACAGTAGTCGATGATGTCTTCGTCAATGTTTGGGGCAGGAAGTGAAGTGTAGACTGATTAACAGTTTTGAAGGTTTGTGCATTGTCGCAGATGATCCATTTTGGGCACCCGACGCTGGCGATAAATCGCCTCAGTACATGAAGTACTGTTGTTGTTGTCATATCTAGTATCACATCTACGTAAATCGCTCGGCAGTTTAGACATGTAAAAAGTAACATCCAGTACTTCCCAGTAGTATTTTCGCTAGTCCAATAAGGCATGGGACCAAAAAAGTCCATTCCAACGTTTTCGAAGGGATACTGAGGCGCATTTACCCTTCGTTCTGGATGTGCCGGGAATGGCGGTAGAGCAAACGGTTTGGCATGAAGTCTTTTGCAATGGTAGCATTCATTGTTAATAGCTCTTTTCATAGTGGCACGGCCTTTAGGTATCCATACTCGTTGTCTCAAGATAGTCAAAGTGTGGTTTACACCACAATGATTGTACGTTTCATGAACATGGAGTATGTAGAGTATGGTGATACGACTTTCACGAGGAAGTAGAATCGGTGTAATTGCCTCTACGGGCAAGTTCGCACGTTCAATCCTTCCCTGTGATTTCCATAGGGAAGTCTTCTCGCAAGTGAAGAGTCGATATCGCTTTATGAAGTCATCGGAAGGAGGGCGCCACCGTTGCGTAGCGCTAATCGGAACAGTACTGTTTCGCTTCTTCGCAATAGCGCAACTTTGGTAGTGCCAAAAATTTTTGCCGCTTTTTTGGACTCCTTTGTGAGAAATTCAGCAGAAACATCATTGTTCTGAGCAGTCGAGTCCAAGAGCTAAAGCGTTTCACATCTAGAAGGGTACTGACTTGTTTTTCGGGAACAGTATTGTTTTGTTTGTTTGCTTTAGATATGGTCGAGACCATAAATTGGTTATGGAGAACGTTTTCGTCCTGTTTGAGATTTGGTGATGCTTTTTGCAAAGCATCCTTGGCATTCTGCGGCCAACTTTCTCGGTCCTCTAGGAGAAATGTCGGTCCTCCACCAGGAATCTTCTCGCATACTTCAATCGGACAGCCTCGAGTGCCCAAGTCTGCCGGATTGATTTCGGTAGGAACGTGTAGAATAGAGACATCGGAGGTGTTTTCAAGAATTATACTGACCCGATTCTTGACAAAGATTGGCAGAGCTTTGTTGTCCTTGGTCCAGTATAACGCTACTAGGCTGTCGGTCCACAGATATTTTTCAGAGATAGGTACATCAAGTTCCTTTGTCAGGTATGTGAGAAGTTTAGATGCAACCATTAGCGCAGCATTTCCAAACGTGGGATTGTCATGGAATGGTTGAGTGGTGCTAGTCGACTTTTTGACATTATCAAAGAGGCTCTCACAGGGCTGTTCTTTACCCTTTGTACAAGGTAAGCCACTGCGCAGTAAGCGACAGAAGATGCGTCAGCGAAAACATGTATGTCGTAATCATAGTTCACTCCTTTCTGATGGTCTATTATGAGACGAGGAGTGGAGATTCCAGCTACATTCCAGGCTGACAAGATTTTTTCTCACTGTGCCGTTTTTTCAGAAGATAGGGTGTCATCCCATAGAAGCTTTTCTTTCCAGAGTGTTTGAAGAAACAATTTGCCAGGTAATGCCGCAGGAGAGAATAATCCTAGGGGATCATAAATGCTAGCGATATGTTTCAAGATCTTTCTTTTCGTCCAGATTGTTTCTACCCCGGGTCTCTTTGGAAATGGTACAACTATGTGATCGTTAACAATGTCCCAATCTAAACCAAGTAATTTTTGGATCTTGGTTATGTTCCCCTTCTCTTCTTGTTCGAAGTACTCATTAAGTTTTGTTGAGTTACTGGCATATGCTCGAAGATTCATACCAGCTTCTTGGAGCAAGGATTTTGACTCTTTGTAGAATGCGATTCCATCGCCTATGCTCTCTGCACCATAGAACACATTGTCAACATAGGTGTTACGGATGATATGTTGCGAAATAGTAGTGGCCATGGTGGAAAGGTGGAAGTGTATGGTGCCGGCGAGTAGAAATGGGGAACAAACCAATCCAAATGGAACACGAGTGAAGCGATAAGTGATTAGGTTTTGTGGGCACAGTGAGCCTGTGGAATTTTTCAACCACAAAAATCTGGTGTAATCCCGTGAACTTTGGTTCAAGCCAACCATGAGGAATGCTTTCTCTATATCACTTGAAATAAGAATTTCACACAGTCTGCTAAGGATGAGAATTCCAACAAGATTAGGAAGCAGTACAGGCCCTCGGTACAGGGTATCATTGAGACTCACGCTTCCTTTCAGTTTTGCCGATCCATCATAGACGCACCTGATTTTGAGATCCTTGTCATTCCTTTTCAATACGCCATGATGGGACAGGTAGTGACACGGTTTGTGAACATCTTCGGCTGGCACACGTTCGATTATTCCTCTTTGTAATTGATCTTCGATTACTGCATGATATCTTTCTAAGTAGGAAGGATTTTGCTGTAGTTGTTTCAACTGATTGCGAAGACGAGAGTAAGCCAATGTGTAATTTTCAGGGACCTTTACCGGATCAACTTTAAAAGGTAATGTAACAACATACCTCTTTTCGTCGGAGTCGTAGTATATAGTATTGTTGAAGAGTTTGAGACATTCGTCATCGTCGCGCTGGTCCGGGTTATCAAGTATACCAACTGATTCAAGTTTCCAGAATCGGCTTACCAGTTCGCACAGTTCGTTATGGTTTGCTGGATTGGCAACGTCATCGTTTTCAATAGAGACAAAACTGCAGTGTTTAAATTTAGTATCGAGAGCTTTCTTCAAAATGATGTCTCCTATGGTCGTGTGGAGAAGACTATGCCCTTCAGATAGGTTTTTGTAGCAGAAATTGTGAGAAAGGACAAGGTCCCAAAAGTAATCGTTCCCAATCAGTATAGATGGTTTACATAAAGTCACGGATAGGTTGCCATCAGGAATGATTTGCATCACATCTTTTGCGAGAGAAGTGGTAGATTTCACAATGAGACATTTGGTGCCGTTTTCTGTCACAATACCTATCTTGTGGATCGAACATTCCATCAACATAGGCTTAGAGCCAGCAAACGTTGAAACGTTGAGTTCTTCTCTTTTGATAGTTGGAAAGTTAAGAAGGGCTGCCAGTTCCTCAGTAATGTAAGTAGCTGTAGATCCACAATCAAGGAAAGCGGTTGCGGTAGCACAACAAGAAGGGTCATCAGGATTGAACAATTTCACGTCCGTGCACATTAGTGGGGCTGGTTGGTTTGTTGCTTCAGTTGTAGTAAAGGTACTATTGTTACCTTTCTCCTCAGGCACTGTTGCACTTGAGTTGGCGAGTTCGTCTATTGAGATTGGCTGGTTGTCATTACATGACATATGAGTAACGTCAAAGTGGACAGCATGATTGCGAGCAGGTGGAGGAGTTGGGTGACGAGGATGGTGATTGTCTTGACGTGTAGGGGCTTTCGGAAGGTTGGGTGGCGTCGATTTGACGGGTTTACAGAGAGAAGTGTGGTGTTTTCTTGAGCATACGCGGCAACGAAACTTTGACTTACAATCTCGAGTATTATGGCGAGTAGAAAGACAGTTGTAGCAGAGCTGTCTCTTTCTTGCTTGTTCAGAGCGTTGTTTTACAGTGGTGTAAGTTGTGCAATTTCAGCAGTGTGGTTCCTGGAATCGCAAAAGGGGCAGTGCTGCCGTAGCTTCGCGTTCGCAGAGCTTGGTCGAGATTGTGGTTGTTTTGCGGCGACGTAGCTTCCTTGTTGAAGACGAGGATTTGAGAACGACTTCGAATGGAATTCCATTTCGGAAAGAGTAGATTCTTTGCGTACGATGTTGGTAAGTAGATGAAGCAATTCCATTGGGGAAACATTTGATCATGTTGGGTTTGGTCGTAGATCTGGCTCCTCACGCGCGCTGGAAGTTTGTTGAGAAGAAGGGCGCCCAGAGCCTTTTCCTTTGAATCATCAGTTCCATTTGAGAATTGTCGTACGAGAGAAAACATTTGATTATACAGAGAGAGGAGATGACGTCCTTCGGGGTAACAAGCTGGTAACGAGGCAAGTTTTGTATACAGGATGTGTTTCAAAGTGACCTTGTCGTCGAAATGAGTCCGTAAGATAACCATGGCAATTCTATAGTTTCCAGGGGTCATCGACAAACCTTGTATGACATGTAAAGCCTTTCCACGCAAGCAAGATTTGAGGAGTGAAAATTTTGTTGTGTCATCGAGTTGTAATTTGTTGCCTACCAAGGTCGCAAACCTTGACGAAAATTCAGGATAGTCAAGCAGATTTCCATCAAAGGTAGGGAGCTCTAGTTTACTGAGTATTGAGGCATCAACAAAATTCATGAGCGAAGGACCGGTTCGAGGGATGATAGGGGTCTGTGAACTATTCTGGAGCAAAGGCCTATTCTCTCTATTCCAACCACTCTCTTCATCAGGTGTGTTAGACTCGGAAGAAACCGAGGAGAGTGCTAAATGGCGCTTTGCATATTCTTGATCAACGGTATTCAAAAGAGAATCCAAATCTTCCAGATTTTTGACAGCATCAACGATGATTAAGCGGTAGTCACCGTACTTCCCAAGATACTCGTTAAATACCTGTTGCTCGTCGGAGTTCGATTTTTGCAATGTCGTCCATTCTTCGTCGAGTTTGGTGATCCTTGTGTAGGATTTTAGCAGATTGGAACGAATACTGGTAACTTCTAGCCGAAAGCTTTCAAGTTCGTCGTCGCTCAGGGCTTCGAATTGTGGGGCAGGAAGGGAGACATTGTAGTCTTTCAAGGCTTGAGCTACGTCAGAGCAGAAGCGCTGGATTTGTTTCTTAGAACACCCTATCTGGCGTCGCAGGCGTGCGCTATACATGTCTTCTAGAAGAGAATCAGAGAATTCGTACGATTGAAGTACGTATAGTTGAGTTCGGGAACAGAGAAGGATCCGCGAATGTTCAAAAAATTGGAAGGTACACTATGGTACAGATGGAAAACTTTTGAAGGAGAGTGATTGGTTACACGCTTCGGTGCAAAGGAGATTGATTGGTTACACGCTTCGGTGCAAAGGAGATTGATTGGTTACACGCTTCGGTGTAAAGGTTGGATTCCTTGAGGGAATTGGTGATCCTGTAGTCAGGAATGGTACTTTCGGTCGTACCCTGTTGGTGGGAAGGTGCAACCGCAGAAATGAAGGTGTGAATGGCTGTTCGACTATTTTGACTGTCCTGCCAGGGTCGCCAGTTTTTTCCGGAATTTGGATGGTTCCGGTGATTGGTTCGGTGACGAGCAAAGATGGTTTCGGACGTTTATTAGTGGTAGCACAGTGCAAAGGCAAATAGCGAAAAGCGAAGCATCAAACATTAGCATGTATATGGAAGTAACAGCATGAAGAGAGTGAGCCTAATGTGTATTATTTGCATATTGTGCGCCAACCATTAGACGCATTAGCGCATTCAATCGTACATCCAAACTAATTCTCAATCATGTAAGGACAGATAATGCGAGTACGCAAATGGCTGACAGCATGATAGGTGATTATCAAAACATCAAGCGCATTCATTATGAACGTCGCTAAGTGTACAGTCATCTTGGGTCTACGAAGAATTACTAATTAAGTTTACGAATTGGAACTACCCTTTTGTAGAATTACAAAAAATTTGATGTTTATTTCGTGCGCCAGCGCCATCCGGTGGAGTTACGGTAGGAGTACGGTAAGGGATCAAAATCACTGATTTGCCCGAAACTTGGCCCAGAGGGGTTAATCGGTCCGCTGATGCCAAATATCACATTGGCTTTGAACCGTATCCATTTTCTCGGGCTACGGTAGCTACACGGTAACGGGTGTAAAGTATAGTTCTGCCTGAAACGGGGGGTGTAGGCCTTTCTGAACCTGCCCCAATCGCGACGGCTATAAGAGGTCAGCGCTAATTAGAGGTCACTCCATGATTGGCTAGCTCGCGGGAGCGAGCGGCTGACCTGGGCAGACGCGCTGCGGAGGCGGACGAGTTTCACATCGCTGGTAACCTACTCCCCAATGAGAGGAGGTAATTCTCCAGAAAATTCCTGAATTCCATTCCCTAGAATTCGATAACTTAAGTTATTCGCTCTACTCTACACTACTTAAATCGCCGGCCACTTTCTAAGGTGGTATGTTTTTGATCTATGAGACATTTTCAATGTCTTTTTCGACTTACTTTACTGTTTTTTTAGTTCGATTGCATACTCTACTCTCCTACGTCTGCCTCCTTACAGCATCATCTAGTCACATTCAATTGAAATGTGCACTACATGCATGCCAGTAAGAAAGCACACGTTTTTTAATGATGAGTATGAAGTTTTTTTTACACCGTCCATATCAAAAACGCAGTCAAATAAAAATGCATCACCTTCATTTGTTAGCGTGATCTACATGGATTGATTTTGGTAGCGATCTTTTCTCTGCTGCACGCATCATGCTTTTTATAGCGTAAAAATTTCAAATGCACGTTCAAATGAATTTTAAGGAGATGATAATTTTCTTGGAAAGCTACAGAGATGCACTAAAGTGTCAGAAGGAAATACGCATTTGATAACGGATTAGCGTAGATCACTAATTTGATTTATAATTGGCCTTTAAAAAGAGTTGTTACACAAACTTTGATTACGTGGGCTTTCCTCAATAACATCAAGCAGCTCACATTAGCAATATGATGTGACGATGCACGACGTTATAAGGATTGCACACACAAGGGATATACGTGGAAAAAAAAGCAAAAAAAACAGAGTTCGAAAGAATTCAAAAAAGATTCATGAGAAGTTTTTTTTTATGGATCATGGAAATGAAAAGACTTTGAAAATGTCCCATAAATCATAAACATACCTGCTGGGAAGTAGGGCTCAGAATACCAAACATTCAGAGGATGGTACTGTGTTTGGTTGAATTCAGCGTGATTGGCTTGCATTCCATAATGCAAGAGCCGCACGAAAGGAGTTGGTGATTTTCGAAAATACGAGCCCTTCGCGGAGCACTCGTCCGCAGTCATCGCAGCGCATGCGCGCGCGTCCTAGTTCTAGATTACTGTAGGGGACGGTGGGTTCAGAAGGGCCGTCTCCCTGAAACGGGTGTACGGCGATTCGGACGATCGTAAAGCTTTGCACACACGACCACCGCAGCGCGCTACACACCCTGCTGCGGCTTTTGCCTAAGCAAAGCACAAGGGGAAGATAAATTTGCCGATTTGTGATTTTGACCCCTACCGTAAACCTATCGTAACCATGCAGGAAGACGTTTTCGTGCGGAGAAAGTGTGATATTTCTATCAGCATGTCGAATAACCCCTCTGTACGAAGTTACAGTGGGTTTTGAGATTTTGACCCCCTACCGTATACCCACCGTAACCCGAGAAAGTGACGCTACGGTACAAAACCAATGTGCTATTTGGCATCAGCGCGCTGAATAACCCCTCTGGGCCAAGTTTCGGGCAAATCCGTCATTTTGACTCCCTACCGTAATCCTACCGTAACTCCACCGGATGGCGCTGTTGCACGAAATAAATATCATATTCGCGTTCAGCTACCAAATAACCTCCCTAGACGAAGTTTTAGCGAAATTCACGATTTTCATTTTTTGGGTCAACTAATGGGGAATAGCGCCCCTCCTTCTATGTATAAGAACAGGCCAAGTCCGAAAGCGCCGCATCTTCACCCTCAGATCTGTGCGCACAAGGCATTCTTACACGTGCTCACACGAGCTCGCGATTTCCCTCCCACCGCCGAGACGGCATGCCGCGGACCCAGCTGTCTCACTCGTCCAAATTCAAAATGGAGGGCATTGAAAAATGCTGTTTTCCACCAATTTCGCGCATTCTGAAGTGATTCTTGGCACAGCGCATTGGATAACCCCAGGTAAGCAAGAAATTTCTAGATTAAGTTTTTGCCGAACCACTGCCTTCAAAGATTTTAGGTTCTTTTGTTTGCTTTTTCAAGCAAAAGAATGTTTGTAAAGGCTCCAAATTCTTTACAAGTTTCTGTGGTAATGCAGTAATGAATAGCGATCCATGCTTCACTCCATATTGCAAATGCAAGTCGAAGCCACCTCTACAAAATAGTTTCTGAAGACGCTCTATACTATACGTAGGAGTCCAGCCGATTTTCATGCCAAAATTGTACCTTCTTAGCCTTCCAAGTAGCAGAATAATCTCATTTCTCCCTCATGTGACCTTATTCATGAACGAACGTGAGTCTCAAGATACAATCTACTTTAAGGCTGTTTGGTAGTCAACACTTAGTACCTCAAGATCAAATCAACTTTGCCAAAATGATATAATCCAATCTTTATTTGGAGCAGGTCTTGACGTCTCAACCATGTACGAATTTTTGTTGCTAGTAAAACTTTTGCAAAAATGAATCATGTAATTTGTGGCCCCGCAGTGTCACATTGACAAAAAGCTAGTTTAGAGGCCCTGGCAAAAATTTTTGGTGTTTTATACGTGGCGCTCCTCATAGTTGAAATAGCATGAACTGCTATTTTTTTTAGAAAAAAATATCCTGTTTACATTGAAAACGGAGTGGGAGCTTATCTAACCTTTGATTCAACTGGCTTGGCGTCTGGGAGGCGAGGCTTTGTGACCTATTTAAGGCCGTTCGCGCCCGCGACGTGTCTGCGTCTCTCTCGCGCGCATGCTCTGTGATCACCATCTAGCCTCAACTAGATCACGAAGCCCCGTCTTCCACGCGCCAAGCCAGTTGAATCAAAGGGTGCAAGGAATGTGTCTTCAATAGTGGCCGTTTCTGGATAGACTCTATATCTTTGCAGAATGTAAAACGCATAAAACGTCGATTCCAATCTGCTCGGTATTGCGCTTCTGGACGCCGGTCACGAGTGATTTCCGGTGTGAAAAATGAACGTACGCTCTGGATAAAACCAGTCGTTACGGTCCCTCGAGGCTTGATTAGCGAGCGTGGCGGTACTAAACACAAAGTACCCATTTTTGATCAATTTTCACGCTGAATTTTCCGACCCAAAAACTTCGTAATTGGGCGCACAATAGATAGCGAAGACAGATTTCGAATCAGCTTTAATTCTCAACACTATAGATCTCGTTCAATTCACAACACTATAGATCTCATCTGGAAAGGCCATTTCGAATAAAAACACTTTTCTTGTTAGTTTTTACATCTGCTATGGTATTAGGAGTGATAGAGTAAAACAGGAGTGGCGTGACGACCCCAATTTTCGTGGGGGGAGGCCGACAAAAATTTTTACAGATTGTCCCCTGAAATTTTTAGGGGACCCAAAACTCCGGAATTTAAAAAAAAGCGACTGTGGCAGCAACCACAAAATTTTTTTACAGCTTTCATCTGAATTTTTAAAAATTTAAAATATTTTTAATTAGTTACAAGTACGAACAAGTCGCTTATACATTTTTATAACCCATATCATATACTTTCAACGATTTCGCGACCCACTCTCGGGGGGGGGGGGGGAATTGATTGAAAGTTACTGAGCTATAATGTGCTCCTTGAAACGCCGCTGCTACGCAGTAATAGAGTAAGATAGTATCGGCTATATGTGAGAGCATTGTATTTTTCGTATATGACTGATTATATCGTGATTTTCGATCATATTGAAAATTGATGACCAATTATTTTTCGTTTAGGAGGTGGTTAAACAACATTTGAAGGTAAAGTTTTTTGTTCATCAGCTAACACGGCTCGTTATTGTAAAAGTACAACAATGGATTATAAATTTCCCTTGCACTGATAAGTTCTGAAACCTGCTAGAATTTTGCTTTTTCTACTAACTAAAGAGTCACATTTCCAATCAAAAAATATGTGTATAAGACTGTCGACTCCGATTTTTTTCAGCAAAAAGCAGAAGATACCAGGGTGGTCAAACCCCAAAGATCCTTAGAATACAGTCGGAAATTCACCAAGATACAGATAAGGGAAGTTTTCTTAGTGATAACGCATATGATCTGACAGGTCGTTGGTTTCTATGACGTATTAGTGGAGCAGAGATGGAGCATCTAAAACAGTTTCATGCAAATGTTCTTCGAAAACAAAGGTAATGCGCTGCGATCCAGATTAAGATTTCAACAGTAAACATGCTGATAACAGATGCATAGCTATAAGAAGACGCTCGAAATGGTCCGTTCAGGCTCTCTCAAAAGCTTACAATGCAACGTTTCCTGGTTCTAGCTCTGCTCTTGTGCACTGTGTGGCTGGCTACATGTTCACACTGCTACCAAAAGTCGAGTCGCTGTGTACCGGATTCAAATGTAAGTTAGGTATTCTAAAAGTCAAAGAGCAAAAAAATTTATAAATGTTTTAGTTGTTGGGCCGATTATGGAAATCTTGCCCGGATTACTGCGCAAAATGTCAAGGAAAGGGTCTGGGAACATGCGAAAAAGTCTATGTGTGTGATTGTGTTGGATACCAATGCCAGTGAGTAACATTTTGGTTATGTTAGTCATACTTGCAATTTTGTTTTTTTTAGCTGCGAAGGCGAGGATGTTCCAAAGTCAACAAACCCGTTGGATATGGCTACATGTAAACTGGGATTATAATGAAAAGGCTACTGCGTGCTGTGTATATATGTAAAGCGTTTGATGTTTTATTGAATCGCATAAATGACAATATGCAATAAAAAATGTGATAAGAATGTGAAAAACTCATGTCAGCACCTAGTTCTTAGACTTGTGTGTTTGGCATAAAAGCCTTTGCACTTGCATACATTTGAAGCCGTCACTGACTATCACATGCTTAACTGTAATACTTCTTGCATGTAGCAATACGAATAAAGCAAGAGACAGCAGATGAAAAGTAAGAACACCTGACTCAACTCAGTGGCAGTGTAGTACTCTAACTGCGAAGTAATAACAACTTTCGTACCTGAAAGGCTAGACAGACTGAATGCAGTGTTCGAAAAAGAAGTTGATTCTGAGATTTTGTGCTTACCTGGCCTATATGCTGAAACCGAAAATTCACGCTGAAGAGTGCGAAAATGAGAAAAAGGGCTCCAAGGCAGGAGGGGGGGGGCGGAGCTTTCCACTTTGTAAAGTCGCTCTCCCAGTTTCTGGAGCAATCTTTTTGATTCCGATATGTGATCTTTTGCACTTGGTTGATGGCGATGTTAGAGCGGCTAGCCGAAGCGAGAAGATAGCTCCTGTAGCTGGCAGAGTGTCTTCACATAAGGGTCGCACCTACCTGCTGATTTACATACTGTTAGAGCATTTTTTTAACCGATTTAGCCTCTCCAGTGTGGATTTCCTGGGAACTGGAAACAAAACGAATGGGCCTATAGGCCCATTCGTTTTGTTTCCAGTTCCCAGCAAAGATGAAAACAAAGATTAGGCAACAAGAAATGAAAAAATGACGCGAGCCCACGCTGCCAATCTCGCTTGCCTGCACATCTAACTTTTCTGGTGCGATCAACAATGTCTCGAGCGGGCAACGATATGGCTTCCAGTTGGCAGCCACAATACGGCGTTATGAATTAAGGCTGCCTGCTCATAGCATTGATGCGGCCCGCTGACAGAAATCTTGTATTCGCAGCCCCATCGTTTCACGGTCGCTGCCAGCTTAAGGAGTCGCTGCCTCATCGTCGCCTTTTGGCTGCTTTTGTAGGAATGAATGCGCTCTGCAGCTATTTTCTGACTCATGGAAGATTATAGCTGCCCGCTGGTAGCCCGTCGCTGCCCGCTCACCGCCATTCCTACAATGTCGTCGCCCGCTCACTGCCACTTTTGCAGTATCGCCGTCCGCTCAGTGAAACTGCCCTTTATCGCCGCCGGCTGAGAGCCTGTGATTGTCTGAGTAGATAAGCATGAAATCTCAACATCAACTTCTTATCCGGACCATGCCTAAATTAAACGTCAATCAATGCTATAGCAAGAACATGGGAATTGATGGTACAAAAGCCAACCGTAGAAGAAGTTGAAATGTTCAAAGCAAACTATGCAAAGCAGTGATCTAATTGCAAGTCGTTGCAAACTATACCATAATTTCCAACTTCCAAAATCGGTTTTCGTCTTACCATCTAAGAGGCAGAAGTGTTTCGGAGATGGCGAGGACAGCAAAGTTTTTTCAGAAGTATTTCACGACTATTTTAACGATGTCGTTGGAATTTTTGGCCTTCCAGCGTGTAGATCTCAAAAAAAAATAGACTTAGCGATAGCTACTTCTCGGGATGTAAGCTGAATCAAAGTTCAAACACGTACAATTGAAGTCAAAGTACTTGTATCTTATCGCGGCCGTAAGCGCGATCTAACGTATACTTTCCCATGAAGGCGCTATCACAGCTTCATTTGTTGCAAATTGAAGGCAGCCGCAGAAGAGAATGTCAACAATATAAAGAGAAGATATGGCAGCATGACGAACGCAACTTCATCTTGATTCTTTCCTTCATGTTAGCTCGACGTTTTATGTCTTTTGCTATCTAGTTTTTCCCATTTAGTTCATAGTCATTTTGTTTGGTTAGTTCACAATCACTCATTTTTTCCTACTTACTCAATCAGTGTGATGGGTTCAGTTACCCAAGTTTGAGGTGCGCTCCACGAGTGGCAATTAAACGTGTCGAGCTGTTGAGCGTTTTGGGTGGCATCGGACCAAAGAATAGAAGACCAAGAAGAAAAACAAAACCACCGCTACGACTTCGTCATTCATCTTCCTTGGTTTTTTTTTCAATTCTTTTTCAACTAGATTGAAGTTTTTTTGCAATACTATTTACGTTTATCATTTTGATATTGTGATGCACTGCAACTCCCTCTGAAACATTGCCAAGGTTTTTTTTACAATTTCATACTTTCTGCGCAAACGATAAAAAGCATTACGAGCTTGCAACATTTTCAAAAAGCGTGAAGATTTTGAAATATAAGAAAAGGTGCAAGAAGAACGAGTCGTGGGGGTCGTGGAGGTCATAAATGAATTACCTGAGAAAATCTGCGAACTACACGACAATGAAGACGATGTGGCGCAGTTTTTGGAAATCCTGGACGAAACAGAAGGAGAAGAGGAGAAAAACCTCTACCGAATTAGAAAACAAGAACTTCGCCCAGAAATTCGTGAGAGTGAACAAGCGGTTCATGCCTGGAAGATGCTCATCGAAGAGCTACAAAGTCGGCTTAGGTGTCCTCCAAGAAGAATTTAATCGGAATTCATCAACCGTGTACGAAAGATTTGTAAAATGCATCTTTTGAAGAGCAATAGGACGACACTATTTTGACTCGTGTCCTGAAGTGCAAGAGGTGGCCACTCGCATACGCATTTAGAACGATCAGAAAAGGTGTCAAATTTGTCTTAGAGTGCTGTATCCGGGTGGCAGAGATTGTAGAAAATGGCCCACGTCATGCTACCTTTGCAGAAAGTATGGACACTACTCTACCATTTGCGAGTTCCCCGAAAAAGGTAGGATCACTTACGGCCGTCTACAACTCGCGCGCAATGCCCTGAGCCGCGACTCCGAAAAACTCACGCGACTGCAAGATGAGTTAAGCCTCTACCCCGAAGATCAAGGTAGGGCGGCAGTATCGCGGCTGTAAGCGCGACCAACTTTCCCATAAAGGCGCTATCATAACTTCATCTGTTGCAGATAGATGGCAGCCGCGAGAAGAGAATATCAACAATTAAAGGGGAAATGGCAGCATGGCGAACGCAACTTCATCTTGATCCTTTCTTTAATGTTAGCTCGACGTTTTATGTCTCTGTTATTGAATTTTTTCCATTTAATTCATAGTCATTTTGTGTAGTTAGTATTTTTCCTGCTTACTCATTTATCAATGCAATAGGTTCAATTACCGAAGTTTAAGGTGTTCTTCACGAGTGGCAAATAAACGTGTCGAGCTGTTGAGTGTTCTGGATTGATGTGGTGTGTAAACATCTTGTTACAGATCAGTTTCGAAATTCGTATGATTTGGGGAGGGGGAGGAGAAAAGAGGGAAGCGCTTTCGTTGTCTCACTAGCCAACACACTGGTAGACAAGGCTGAATGTCTGTTTGTCTGTCTGTCTGACTGTTTGCTTGTCTGCAGGTCTGACTACAAATAAGCTTACACGTATGCATGTTTCGAATAGGAACTTTGAACTGATCCGAATCGAATTTGGCTCACATACACTTAGGCGATCGGGGGTTGTAGGAGTTTATGTTACCGATGGACATCGATTTTACCGACGTGGGGAGGGGGGGGGGGGGAGCATGCTAATTAAAAATGCGATACTGTTCGTCGAATTATGGATTACTTTTGTCACTTCTACCGAATTTTTTGCAGTTGAGCTACAGGGTTGAAAGTTGGCACGACATAAGTGAGCATGCTGATTGCGAAAACTTAGTGGAGGCGGTACAGGCATGAGAGATGCGATCGAGACAGGAAAGTACGTAAAGTAATAGAATTTGATGATTTCTAATAGTGTATTGACAATGCCGGCCAAATTCAAGGATGACAGCCAGTGTGCAATGGTACCAACTGACAAATCTAAAAGGCAGGAGCTACTCCAAAAAGACACCAACAAAAAAAGTACACTTGTACCAGAGCAGCTATATTCCCGCGAAGTAACTCAACTTTGCTTCAAAAATAGGATAGAGAGGCTTCGTAATCATGTTCATGCATGTCTTTATTATGTCTTTCTGCTTCTGCTCAGGCCGTACTAGACCTGCTAAGTCTGCGTGACCACATTGTTTAGTCGAGACCCGGCTACTATATGTGTGTTCTTGCGGGTGGACTAGTAAGCTCTAGGCGGCATACATGAGTTAGTGTAGGCACTCTTTAGTTATTCTTCGTAGGGCTGCTTTCCCTTTCCTGCCCACCGGGATGGTGGTGGCCGGATGGTGGGGGTGATGCGGAGGTTTGGTGAGCGGGTATGCTGGTGGCCCCCTACCAGTGTACCCGTCTGGGTATGTCGGCGGGGGCTGCCGGCGTATCCGTTTGCCGAGCTTCTTTCCCGCCCCCACTGTTTGCCCACTTTCATATCTGTTGGCTGGTGAGGGTAAGTGGATATACGAAATTTTTAGTCTAAAAATCACACTACTCGGTAGTATGTCCCTTCAGCTTATCTCTGGTCCCACCCATATGTTGTAGCTTTATGTGCTGGTCAGAAAAAATATTCGGTGGTTTTTTTGTTTGTTTGTTTTGTGTTTACTTCTTCATTTTCATTGCGGCTCTCCTTAGTATCTTCGTGTTAGCAGTTTTTGGATTGATAGCACGCCGAAGTGCGTATGAATAAATAAATAAATAAATGTATAAAGGCAAAACTATAACAAAGTCTCTGTAGAGGTTATGAAGATTTCAAGAATGATCGATGCCATTGAGGTGAAACATAGAGCGTAAACAAAGCTGGCAAACTCCAATCATAAAGTAGCAGAGTACTAATGAGAGCATCAGTTGATGTATGTATGGAAAGAAATGGACAAATCTCTAACTATGTGTAGAGTAAGAAACTTTAATGTATACAGTACAATATTTTGATTTATCTCATACTTAATCTTTTTTAAACCAACTACCTGATGTGCTACGAAACACCAAACGAAATCACAGTGTACTCTTTTGCATTTCTGCGTGATCTGAGGCTGCGCTTGTGGTTATCTTACCTGCCAAGCACCTTGTATTCT